AAGAAAACTTGAAATAAGACAATAACCATTTTAATGCAAGTCAACAATTAAAGAAATTACAACAGTTTATACATCATCCACATTTAAGACCTTTTAAACGAAAAGATCAACCTCTTTAAAATATTAACGTTGATAAATTATCATTTTTTAGTCAAAGATGTATTTACTTAATTGTACATGTAAATCATTTTTCTGGTTAAATCATTCATAAGTCCATGGTAACTTTTGGTCCTCTTGAAATCTTTCACAAATGGTTTTAATTTTCAATTTTACAAATTTGTTTATTGTGCATTAACCAAACAAAAATGTCCAGTTTACATGCATACGAAATACTTTGTCAGTTTGGTCAGTTTTCTTCATCATCCATTGATATTATTCATGAATTAAGTCCAAAGTTTCTGCATTCCAATCCTGTTCCATTAAGTCTTCATCGATTAATCTGAAAGAAAAAAAATCATACATCATAACATGCATAGAATTTTGAATTAAAATAACATTACAATACCATGCTCCAGTCTGCAATTATTCAAAAATATATGTTACTGGCATATATATTTTATTTGTGTTTGTGTGTAATTTATTCACAACATTTATACACTAAGAGCAATTTAGACACATGTATGTCTATTGTTGAAGACTATGTGTTCTCTAGATATCTTTGGCTATAGTTGTTGGGTTGCTGTCTCTTAGACTTATAACACACATCTCTTTTTATCAAAATAGACTTCTATTGTTCATGGATCAGGTGTCTCTCAAAGCCAAATAAAACAGTATGTGTGGTTCCAGTTACATTTAAAAAAAATTAGGGTAGGTAGGTAAGAATTTTTTTTATTTTATGGTTTTTTTTTACATTGAGTCTATCATGTCTGCAATTATTCAAAAATATATGTTACTGGCATATATATTTTATTTGTGTTTGTGTGTAATTTATTCACAACATTTATACACTAAGAGCAATTTAGACACATGTATGTCTATTGTTGAAGACTATGTGTTCTCTAGATATCTTTGGCTATAGTTGTTGGGTTGCTGTCTCTTAGACTTATAACACACATCTCTTTTTATCAAAATAGACTTTTATTGTTCATGGATCAGGTGTCTCTCAAAGCCAAATAAAATAGTATGTGTGGTTCCAGTTATATTTAAAAAAAAATTAGGGTAGTTAGAATTTTTTTTATTTTATGGTTTTTTTTTACATTGAGTCTATCATGTCTATGGGAGCAACATTTTGACTTAAACAGTACTTACTGAAAAATGACAAAAAAATCTTTAGGGTAGGCTATTGTTAAGACTAAACAAAAAGGTAGGTAAGGTAATTGGAACCACGCATATATTTTTATTTAGCCTCATATTATCTTTCCCTTTGTGTTGTGTTTGTTGTTGGTTTACTATCTGGTTGAAGCATACCAGACACCTCATTTTGTTCACATAATAGCCATGATTAACCATTGTGCATGATGATCAGATCAATGTTTTTGAGATGTGTTTACAGCTTATAGATGTGAATGATTAACATGATTAATGTATTTTTATTTCAAGTGTGGGAAGGATGAAAAAATAATTCAATAAGTACCTTTCAATAATCTTATACTCAAATTTCTTTTCTGCTGCTGGTTCGTTTGTTTTCATCATGTTTTCATATTATTGAGTGGATATTGATCGATGCACAGTCATCATTTTTGCAGCTTTGTACCTTCACCATGATCAATCCCTTTTAATATATGGACAACCTAAAAAAAATGTAAAAACATTTTATTAATCATTTTTAATTCTGGTCATGACCTGTATGCATCATATATTACTGATATTTATCATACAATGTACATATATAATTAAGAAGCTTCTTTCAGTTAAGTATAAAGACTCTAAAACACAATATTAACCTTTAGGGATTTTTTGTGTTGCATGTCCATCCAAATCAGAACATGACAAAATTAAGTTGAATGTGCCTGAGATTGTGTAGTAAACTGTAAACATCTTTCCTTGATTGTGAAGGCACACAATGTAATTTAATATTGAATAATAAAATTATTATTACATTCCCACCTCCCCCTTTTCAGAACACCAAATGGTCATCCTCAAAGTGTGAACTAACAGAGCCCATGAATAAAACTAAAGGGGGTATATATCTTTTCTTTTTAATTTTAATTAAAAATATTCATGATGTAAAAATCAAATGTAAAATCTCTTAAAAATTACCTGTATCTGCTGTACGTCTGCCCTACATCAGCACATCGTCTCATCGTAAATTCTTGGTTCAACAGCTAATGTCATACCTAAATGTTCTGCCTTTAATGTCTATTTCTTTATTTATCGAAGGTTGTTGAGTATTAATTATTATTAACATGATTAATGTAACCACAGCTGGACAATGCTGGACAGGATACATACTCGTACAATATTTTTAGTTTCAAATTTGAACACATTCCGTGTATTAATGATAACGACTATCTGATTGGCCGATCGGAAATCCCGGATATAGAGTTATCCAATCAAATCAGCGGTTATATATATAGTCTGGTAGAAAAAAATGGCAGCCTCCATGAATGTAAACATGTGTGTTGAAAAACAACATTATAGACTACAGTTTCACGAATTTTCTGCTCAAATTATGCCAAAAACACTGACATTTAGCTTACAATTGATTGGAGCGGATTATATGTGAAATGTTTCTATAGATTAACTTATATGACCCGAGTTCCAGTGCCGAGTTCAGGACATGAAAATGATGAAAAATTCATCACACGGACAAAGTTAAGATACCGAAACAGTTTATAGAACAATGTGGAAAATGAAAGCCGTTCACTTTACTTTTCTCAAAAGAACAGTAGACCAGTAACAGTTAATGAACATGATGAAGTCAAAGGAGAAATAATTATATTATTGTATACATGTAGACTGTAGTGCAGGGCAGTTGCCAGTACGGTCACTTGAAGAAAAAAACGGAGTTATCCTAACAATTCGTACAGTCTGAAGATAATTTCTGCAACAGATCTGTTTAAAACGGCCCTTTTAAGAGCCATGCACATTTTTCAAAAAGAATCTTAATTGTTTTTGTTCGTTAAATCAACCAGAATTTTATTCTCAACCCAATTTGATATAAAATATTCATTTCTTTATTTATATTATCTGATTATTGCACATTTAATTTTATTTCTTAATAGTTAAAATGTATCCTTTCAATGTGTCATACTCATAGGCTATATGGTGATGCATTATATTCACCCTACATCTGAGGAGCTACCATTTTACTTATTTTATATGGGTGTGGGGGGGGGGGGTCTTTCAGACCAAATGATTATTTTCATTTGTTACTAGGCAAGTGATTTCATATTACATTTAACCATGTAACATTTTTTGAACAAATGTTTCATATACATGTATATATGTAGGTTTATGAAATATTCATAATACATCCCTTATATTATCATGATTATAATATTTAATTTCTTATCAGGCCAGCAAATTATATGCTACAAATTAAATCCTTTATATAATAATCATGCACTTAATTATTTGAAAAATTTAAATTAGAAGTATATATTCCTTTAAATTTCTAAGTCCAAAATTCCACTGGAATATTTGCATTAAATCAAAACTCCACTGAAATATAAACAATAATATTCCACTGGAAATTAATTGGAAAATCTTTGGAAGTTTCATTGGAAATTTCACTGATTTTCCATTGGAATTACAGTGTGAAAAATATTCCAGATGTTTTGGATGAAATTCTAATGGGATTCCATCGGAATATTTTTTTCCACTGAATACCAGTGTAATTTCACTGGAAATCCAGTGGAATCCCGTACTCATTTTCAGTAGGGTAGTTAATAAGTTCCTCCGGAACTTTTCGGCTAGTTAGTTCTTTCCGCCCGGAACTTTCCAACGTCGGAACAAAAGAGCATTTACATTTGCACCTTTTATGGAACAGCCTCGGAATCACAGTACAAAATGGATAACACCTTTTATAGAACAACATCAGCATAACAGTACAAAATGGTTGACACCTTTTATAGAACAGCAACGGAATCACAGTACAAAATGGTTGACACCTTTTATAGAACAACATCAGCATAACAGTACAAAATGATCTGCACCTTTTATAGAACAACATCAGAATAAAAGTTAAAAAAATGGTCTGCACCTGTTATAGAACATCAACGGAATCAGAGTACAAAGAACGGAATCACATTTTAAAGAACAGCATCGGAATAACAGTTCAAAATGGATTGCACCTTTTATAGAACAACATAAGAATACCAGTACAAAATTGTTTACATCTTTTATAGAATAGCATCAGAATCACAGTATAAAATGGCCTGCACCTTTTATAGAACAGCATCGGAATCACAGTACAAAATGGTCTACATCTATAATAGAACAGCATCAGAATCACAGTACAAAATGGTCTGCACCTTTTATAGAACAGCATCGGAATCACAGTACAAAATAGTTTGCACTTTCTATAGAACAGCATCAGAATCACAGTACAAAATGGTCTGCACCTTTTGTAAAACAACATCAGAATCACAGTAAAAAATGGTGTACACCTTTTGTAGAACAACATCAGCATAACAGTACAAAATGGTCTGCACCTTTTACAGAACAGCATCAGAATCACAGTACAAAATGATTTGTACCTTTTAAAGAACAGAATCAAAATTACAGTACATTTTATAGTGCAGAAATATACCATGTGCTTATTGGAGAACAGCATTCAGAACAATTACTTAATGCTGCAGTAATTCTCTATAGGACAGTATTGGGAAGGTGTGCATAAAAGATAATCTCACACAATACTGAGAAATTTAGTCGTCCATGTACATGTACAGTGCAATAGGAAACATGAAGAAGAATTCAGGATTTTCACCGCGAAACTGCTAATTTAAAGATCTGCTTCCATTAAGCAAGCTAACATATAATTCTGAATTACTAGTTTTTCAATAGTTTCCTTTGTTTTTAAGACCTCACCAACTGAACTTCAGCAAAGAGATACTCACCCGATACTGAGACAGGTTGCGGTCCCTGTACATACATATCCATCTTGGCAACACCATATTGTTCCACTACAGTGATGGTATCCAGAAAAACATGAATAATCTGACCCTATATAAAAAAGTGAACGTTAATGACATTATTTAAAGACTACTACACCCTTACTATTTGCAATCTTATTTGTTTATTTCTAGTTTCGACAACAAGCATGGTCTTCAGCACAAAACCATAGAATAAAATAAGGAGATAACTGTATTGTATTTTAAGCCTACTCAAAACGCAAAACGAAGGTGATGTTTTCCTTTTTAACATTTGCATTCTATCACTAACTTATAATTACTACTTTTCTACAGCTTGACATATTGTAAAGACACTTAAAAGCATACATTAAAGACGCAGTGTGTGTCTTTTTTGTTTTTGCGTCGTTGGGTTGCTGTCTTGTTGATGTATAGCTCACAACACCTTTTATCTATACACGTATGTTTTAAAAATACAGGGGTCACAAACAATAACATATCAGTACCTCGTTGTTGAAATATTGATTCACGCGTCATATATTTTAAGAAATAATTTATGGTGGCTTGAATTTAAACTGATTTTATCACTGGTCAGCCCTTTATGCTAAATATTTTACCTCGAGCGATAGCGAGGGGAAAAATATCGGCATAAAGGGCCAACCCGTGGTAAAAACAGTATAAATTGAAGCCCCCATGAACTATTTCTATTATACGGCAATCATTATGGATCGAAGCGCTCTATATAGCTAAGTGAAGGCAAACATTTGCCGTTCCCGTCATTAAACACAATATTAATATTGACGTGAATGAACGGAGAAAACTGAACTATTGACATGCTTAAGGTAGATCATAAGTATATACTTTTTGAGACAGAATTTTCTTATAATTTGCCAAAATGAAGATTTTACTATGCTTTTTTCAAAAATAAAATAAAAAGTATGGGTCACCGTGCTAATTTTCAAGCTATGAGTCGTTGAAAATTGCCTAAATTTGGTTAGATTGTTCATGAAAAAACACATTTGTGTGCATAAAAAAAATTCTATGAGATAGAATTTTGAAATAAATTGTTAGAAGATAGGTTTTATTATATGTTTTAAGAAAATAAAAAGAAAAAATGGTGTCACCGAACTTGTTTTCTTGCTACAAGTAAAAATTAAAAATTTCCCTATGAGTCCAGTATAATTTTTTTACTAAAAGAGTTATCTCCCCTTAAATGGCTCTTTTGAAAAAATGAATTTGTAAACAAGAAAAAATGATATTTATTTAAATATTTTGTATAAAACAATAAATCACCAAGTTTTTATTATATAAATAAACAGTCTAACCATTTATTGCTAATCTGTCTCTAAATTTGCAGACTTGGGCAAATAACTAGACCAATTTTGAACTGCGATTGTACAATTCAAGATGGCGGTATACCATAAATCTACCTTAAACTATTTACAATAACGTACTTAGTTAGGTTTTGGGCGAATTTAAATGATAATCTTACTTATATGTAATAAAATTGGCTTTTAACAAATTTTATGATCGTTTGTTTATGTTTCTTTGATTTGATGAATTTCAGTTTAACAACCGTGCATTTTCCCGTAAAATGCTTTTATTCTTACGTCATCGTTCAATGACGTCATATCCACCGATTGACGTCGGGTAGCTCATTCATAAAAAAAGCATATGACGTGGCAGTATGATCGGAACAGCCCAAACAGATCATGACGTTACCGATCACCTGACATGCAATATATTCATATTTTACCACGGGTGTGTACTCAAATTGTTTGAAGAACGTCATATTAGAATTTTCAATTTATTTTTATAGTACAAATTCAATAAAATAAAAAATAAAATGTTCCGCAGGACGCAGCTTGATACGACCACAGTGATCGAACCCTGAACAGTTGGTGCAAGTATGGACACTATATTCAAGCTTGATATAGCTCTAAATTTTGATTGTGATTAAATATTTGACACATCATAGGTTTCTTACATATCCAAAATCTGAATACACGATTAGATTCAGCATATCATAGAACCCCAAGAATTAAATTTGATGAAATAAAAAAATGTTTAATTTTGGACCCTTTGGACCTCAATGTGAACCAATTTGATAACAGAGACCTGAAAATTCAAAATCTAAATACAAGGTTATATTCGGCATATCAAAGAACCCCAAGTATTGAATTTTGGACCCCGATTTGGACAGATTCAGCATTTGCAAGTACACCAAGAATTTAATTAAATTATTTATTAATGGACAATATGAGCTAAGTTTTTAAAGGGGTTCGCATAAATGTATATATAGCATTCTGAAAACTAATTTATACAAAATAACAAACAAACCTGTCACGAAATTTACAAAAAAATGAAGAAAAAAAAAATTTCCAAAATATCATTCCCCATTAATACAGTCCTACAGTTATCCACAAGAAATCTCATCAAAATGATGGTGGATTTATAAATAGCTTTTCAGCCACACCACTTAGAAAACACCAAATTTTCAAATAAATTTGTCACTCCAATTATATTCTTTTCTTGATAATAGATGATAATTGCTGCATGAATGAATTAATAGTAAATACACAACACTTATCCATATGCATAAATGTGAATTAAATTACAAATGTTAATATGTAATACACACTGTGTGTAGTTTTTAAGAAAATTTTAGATAAATAATAATAATAATACATGTAATAATAATTCTTTATTTAAAGAAGGTTACATAGTCAGCTGTAAAACTGATCTTCCTTGAGACTCTCATGAAATACATTGAAATATAACAAAGAATTACAAAATATTCAAACAAATACACACATTAGCTAATGTATAGGGAATTCCATACATCACAATCTTTCCGTTATTCATTTTAATATTCAATTTCCATGATTAGTTATAAAAATGTTAAAATAAACAAAATTTCAATTAACTTCATAGTTCCTGTCCTAGAGTGGTAATATCCGAAACTGGACATAATCATCTCTCCATATTAACAGACTTGGTATTTAGTTTTAAACATCTGTTTGTTAAGTTATATTATATATCCCTTTATCAGCATGTCTTGAGATGACAGATTTACAGCTCTACTTAACCATTTAATAATCTAATAATGATCAGTAAATTTCAAACTATATTTTTTCTCTAAAATAAGATAATTCTTATTATGATGCTATGTCTGTTCTAAAAAGAGGGACGAAAGATACCAGAGGGACAGTCAAACTCATAGATCGAAAACAAACTGACAACGTCATGGCCAAAAATAAAAAGACAAACAGACAAATAATAGTACAGATGACACAACATAGAAAACTAAAGACTAAGCAACACGAACCCCACCAAAAACTGGGGTGATCTCAGGTTCTCGGGAAGGGTAAGCAGATCCTGCTCCACATGTGGCACCCGTCGTGTTGCTTATGTTATTCTTTACTATGACTTTACTTCTAATTTCTATTTATTCTGCAATACAGCTCAGATTAAATATTTCATATAGCATAGTTTCTGACACAGAATGAATGTGGTCAAAGTACTTAAATAATTTTGAATTTGATATTTACCAATTATGGTCCTATATCCAAAATCTAAATACATGGTTGGAATCAGCATATCAAAGAACCACAAGATTTCAATTTTTGATGAAATCAAACAAAGTTTAATTTTGGACACTGTGGTCCAATTTGATAACAGGATCCACAATCTAAAATATAACTACATCTTAGATTCGGCATCTCAAAGAGCCCCATATATTCAATTTTTGTTGAAATCAAACAAAGTTTAACTTTGGACCCCAATTTGGACCAATTTGAAAACTGGGCCCAAAATCAATAATCTAAATACTGCTAGATTGGGTATATCAAAGAACCCCAAGAATTCAATTTGTTTTTAAATCAAACAAGTTTAATTTTGAACCCCAATTTGGACCAACTTGAAAACTTGGCCCAAAATCAACAATCTAAATACTGTTAGATTGGGCATATCAAAGAACACCAACTATTCAATTTTTAAAGTTTAATTTTGGACCTGCATTTGGACAAACTTGAATACTGTGCCAAAATTCGAAAATCCATCAACACGTTGAGATTCAGCATCTCAAAGAACCCCATATATTCAGTTTAATTTTGACCCCAATTTGTACCAACTTGAAAACTGGGTCCAAAATCAAAAATCTAAATACACTATTAGATTGGACATATAAAATACACCAATAATTCAGTTTTTGATGATATCAAACAAAATTCAATTTGGGATCCAGATTTGAACCAACTTGAATACTGTGCCCAAATTCAAAAATCTAAATACACGCTTAGATTCGGCATATTAAAGAACCCAAAGAATTCATTTTTTTTTTAATCAAACAAATTTTATTTTTCTACCCTTTGGACCTTAATGTGGACCAATTTGAAGACAGGCCCCAAAATTAAAAATCTTAATACATGGTTAGATTCAGCATATCAAAGAATACCAATAACTCAATTTTTGATAAAATCAAACAAAGTTTAATTTTGGACCCTTTAGACCTTAATATTGACCAATTCAAAAACAGGGCCCAAAATCAAAATCCTAAATGACCGGTTTGATTCAGGATATTAAAGAACCCCTATAATGCAAGACTTTGAATAAAACCCTATTGAAATTGGTCAAGAAATAAGCAATTTATACAAAGTATTACAAAAGTATTGTTTTTGACCCCTTTTTCCTAAACCGTTAAACTCATAACCCCCAAAATCAATCCCAAACTTACTTTTATGGAATAAAAACTTGAGGCACAATTAAATAGTAAATCATAGAATTACACTCAAGTTATTGTATAATCCAGAAAATCTTAGCTTTTTTGCCCCTTTTCGGCCCCTAATTCCGAAATCGTTTGGGCCATGACCCCCCAAATCAATCCCAACCTTTCTTTTGAGGTATGAAACCTTGTGGTAAAGTTTCATAGAGATCCACAGACTTATACACAAACTATTGTCCCGAAACAAGAAAAATGCTTGTTTGTTATCCCTTTTTGGGCGCTAATTACTAAACGGTTTAGGCAATAACCCAAAAAATCAGTCCCAATCTTTCTTTTGCGGGATGGAACCTTGTACTAAAATTTCATAGAGATCCATAGACGTATACTCAAGTTATTGTCTGCGAACCAAAATGTATTCGGACGACAAGAAAAATGCTTTTTTTTTGGCCCCTTTTTGGTCCTTAATTACTAAAAAGCTATGACAATAACCCCCAAAATCAATCCCAACCTTTCTATTGTGGTATGGAATCTTCTGGTAAAATTTCATAGAGATCCATACACTCATACTCAAGTTATTGTCTGCGAATCAAAATGTCTTCGGACGACAAATGTTTTCGGACAACGTCGCAGACATCGCCATAGCATAATACGAACGCAAAACGTTTGCGGTCGTTTATAAAATAGTTAAATCAATGATAAAACAATACGAGTAAGTTAATACTTTTTTAGCGCCATATGTGTTAATATTTTATTTTATATTGTAAAAATCTAACTGAAAGAAAACTAATTATATTCTTTATTTACCTTTGATATTTGTTATACACTGAAATAGAATCGCAACTAACACACTAATCAATATTATCAACTTCATGGTGTAATGTTTTACCAGTAAAAGTGTGCTATTTAGTTGGATGATATTAATGTAAAATTGTAGAATTTCAAAACTATGTCGGAGGTTGCGAAATCGACCAAGCCTCCTGTCACGTGAATTTGTTTATCGTCAATTGATAAAACATGTAACGAAAGCTTTTCTATTATATATGTTATCTTTTATCAGTTACGATTCACATGTTTTTAGAATTTAGAAATGTATATATATATATATATAATTCGTCTTATATGACTTATATGTTGCACAACAATATATAAATATTTGTAGATACTATACCAGACAAATCTCCAGTGTGTACATTTATGTATCATATCAATCATACATTGTAGAATACATATTCATTATGTGTACAGCAAAAACAAAGGTGTAAACTAAATGTGTGAGGTATTCTATTAAAATACATTTCTATAAACGAGAGGTGCTACTTAAGAGAGTTCCAGTCCGAAATTTGGATCGTCCTTACTATAGCCGAACCTAACCCAATGTTATGATCAATCATGTTATCCCAGATTAATTAATTATTTTCCAACTACTCCAACTACTCCTGTAAAGGGTATATATATATATATATTATATACTCTTGTTTTATGCATGTAATTATTATCTAAAACTGTTTTTAATTTTTGCTAAAACAAATAAAATAAACATTCAATTGCCTTTCATTTATATATAAACCTGTACACCACCTTAACATGTTTAGGATACATTGTATATTTTAATTAATATAGTATTAATTATATATAGAGTTTTTATACGTTTCAAACATTAGAGAACGTATTTGATGACATTCGCATTACTAAGCATGCTTTTAATCTTTACTATGAGGAATATAGTAATAACTCATTTTCTTTAAGTTAATTCAAAAACCCACTGACGGAATCTGATATACTGAAATATTTTGGACGCAAAGACGTTGTTATTAAGTTTCATTTCGATTGCATTTTGCTAGAATGTGATAGACAAACGACATTTTGAAAACTACAAAATTCGGAGACATGTGTGATACTTAAGACGAATTTCGCAATAGAATTAAATTGAATTCGAACAAAACTGAAGTACTCTACTAGCGAAACAGAGATGTGGAAGTCTTTCTTTGAGGCTCGCGACGGGGATACACAGCGGTGCACAACCAAATACAACAGGAATTCCACGGAGGATGAGTGTCACTGTATACTCATCTGCTCTTTATACAAGGACTAAGAACTGTTGGTTATATATTTACTAACAATGGAATTTTTCGTTTTGAATTTTCCTTGAAGGTCGGTATTTTTGTTATTTTAGTTTTTACGTTACGTCATCAATGATGTAAAAGGGCTCTTCTTGACCACAGATTATTCGCGAAAGTTTGCCAATTAAACAGCGAATGCTTATTGAATATAGGCGTAGAATGTTATACACATTAAAATCTTGATAAAAAATAGTTATTATTTCAATTTAAGTTACTAATTTTAGCTGGACGTCAAGAGTGTTTTTCCACTAGCTGCAATATTTAAGAGTTAATAAAAGTTTAACTCATAATCAGTCTGAAATATTTTCTGATACTAAAATATAATAATTCTTCTTTTGTTTTTGTTTTTCATTCAACTTTAAACGCTTATTTGTATGGACATATATTTATTCCTTAATTCTATTTTTTTTATTTCTCATTATTATTTGGCATAACAAATTTTCAAACTTTCTCAAGCTTCCTCATTTGTTGAAAAATCCGTAAGGAAATGACATACTTGTTTGAACTTTTGAAAGATAAAAAGATAAGAAATTTATTTATAGTACATGTATAAAATCCGGACAATATGATAGCTACGAAATACACGTATAAATAATCAAGACTACACATATGTAACATTGACAAAACACTAATCTAAGTTTGTTTGTTTGGTTTTGTTTTTTCTTTTCTTAAATGCTAGACAACAAGCCTCTCCTAAAATTAGTATATCAATTAATATATCTAGAACAGTAATACAAAAGGAAGAAATTCTGCTTACCTCTGTTAATATATTTATTGTTTTCATAACGAGTGTGAATTGGATATTGCTTGTTATCGCTATTTTACGAAAATTTCCTTTGATCTTACTGACTTATAATTTCCTTTCTCAGCGGAGTCGAGTGATATGAAAATTATCGCTAAAAACTAAGGGGGCACGTGCCGTTGCTAATGAAATTGACATGAAATTGACAACGTCGTCATAGGTAAAATAGCGATAAACAGATTATCATTGGTCATCTCAACTCGATTGCTTTTCTCGCTTTCGCCGTACCGGCTCAAGCGAGAAAATCAATCTCGTTGAGATGATCAACGATAATCTATAATTATCGGTGGTACCTGTATCACTCTGCTCAGCTCTTAATAAAATTGCATATCACGGCTTTGTGACGTCAAATACGCAGACCCGGCCTTAATAACTTTGACCCGGACATATCACCGACGTCATAATATATGAACTTATCACGTCATCTTCCGATTTGCTGGTGAAACAAAGAAAACACTAGTTTGTATCATGCAAAATACGCAAATACAACCCGATAATTCGATTATCTGGTTGTCTGCATATTAATATTGTAAAATATGAGCTACTCGACAAAAAGCTTCATATTGTGACTCGCGGCTGATATTTTACGATATCAATATGCAGACAACCTGATAATTGGTACATATCAACTCCAGTTATTTAATTTCAATATAGATATAAACGCGATGGCGAGTTTATCATTGCCATTCAAATTAAATACAATCGATATCAGATCGATCCAGTTTTAGCCCTCAGCGTGATAGGGGGACCAGAATCAGGCCTTTTGCTCATCTTTAGTATATTCTTATTTTTCCTGAAGCGGTAGGTGTTTATTTTTATTTTTCCTGAAGCGGTAGGTGTTTATTTTCATTTTTTAAGTACATGACATAATACTCTGATTACCTTACTTTGATTATTTTTATTTTAAAACAAGGATAAGACAATGGTGTATGGAAGATGTACTTTATCGCGCAAAAAAACCCCAAGTTATATGGGATGGATTAAATAGGGGCTGTGCTGAGGAGCTCAACACAGATAAAAATATACTATGGAATCATTTAGGAAATTTCAAATTTCTATTCAATTTGGTCTTTTAAAAATAGATATATGTATTGACAATTACTTACTGGAATATTATAGCTGTGAAAAAACGTGCTCTACCAATTCTAATTTAATGTTTTACTGTTTAACCAGAAACATCCCCAGATAAATTGAGGGATGTACAAGCTATGCTATAAGATTTGTGTTAAACGTAAAGGGGAAAATAAAAAAGATTGATTGATCGATTGACTGATCGATTGGTGTTTAACGCCAATTTCAGCACTATTGGTTATTACGTGGCGGTCATTCTTTATTGGAGGAGGTAGCCGAGTTCCAATCCTTTAGAAGTGCAGAAATTAGTCCATGGAACTCTTGGGAAAAAAATGTATATTGAATTTCTAATACATTCCTGAAAATTGTAAAATTCTCCATTTTCCTTGATAAGATTAATCATGAAATATATATTTTACTTTATCTAACTATTAAAACACTGTTTTCCACCAATCATGATATTACAATTTAAAAACAGTGGTTGAGACAAGATGTCACACGGGGCTGTTGACAGAGGTTCACATGTTGAGGCCCATGATGCAATTACATTTTGCTAAAATGGGTTAAATTCATTTTTAATTTTGTTAAATGCTGAATAATATCAACTATTTTCTCCTCAATTCATTTAATGATGATCTTCCAATAACACCTTCAATGAAGAATAATTTGAAGGGTATAAAACCTATTTATACCCAAGACAGCTAAAGCGATTTGATAAAGGATTCTGTGTGTGGCATCTTTGCAGCACCATTCTCATAATTTGAGGAGAAAACATTTTTTTTTTAATGTAGATATTAAAATGTTCTGGCTAAATTCTTCCAAAAGTTTGAAGTGATATGTAAAATTTCGACAAGAATAAAAAGTCACAATGATTTATCTGTAACTCGTTGTTAGAATATTGAATCACGCGTCATAGATATAAGAAGATGTGGTATGAGTGCCAATGAGACAACTCTCCATCCAAGTCAAAATTTATAAAAGTAAACCATTATAGGTCACAGTACGGTCATGCATTTTTACAAATCCTTTTTGATATACCACAAGTTCGTGTATATGTAAATAAAAACAGGTCAGTTCATCATTTTAATATGCGCTACATAATTATGTTTACCTGAAATTAGCTAATATTCTGTAAAATTACCTTTGCTATTCGCTATACACTGTAATAGAATCGCAACTAACACACTAATCAAAATTAGGAACTTCATTGTGCAATGTTTTTCCAGTAATAAAGCGTGCTATTTACATTAGATGATATTAGTGTAAACAAATAGTTTCTGTAAAATTTCAAAATGCCGGAGATTTCGAAATCGACCAAACGTTCAGTCACATGATTGTTTAGTCCTTCATTTATTTACAATTCAAATTATCTATCATATATTTTCTTTAATTCGTATCGTTGCACACATTTTAGACTTATAATAATAATAATAATAATAATAATAATAACAATAATATTGACTGTATTTAAAGAGGATGACTCAATTAGCATTCCCTAATATACCTTGAGGCCCTCACGAAAAACATACAGAACAGGTATTACACACATTACAACTTTGTTAACATATAATTCATTCTTCACGCTAAATGATTGTCTGTAGAACAAGGAACACAAAATAATACATTATACACAAACATTAAATACATGATAGAGTTAGAGAGTTGTTACGTATCATTTATAGTTTTTAAAAATCTACACATTTTCTTTTAAAAAAGTACCAACATTTTCACATAGTTTTATTTCAGCAGAGTATAAGCATTATAAAAAAAATCTTCTTCTGGATAACAGTGCAATACGAGAACTTATGCGTTTACATACATGATAAAATTAAAATTTCCAGTGTAAATGTTTATCAATATATATATACCACAATAAATGCTCCATTTTGTGAATCCTTATACAAATTTAAGAAATATATACAAACCAAGCTATCAATATTGTTTATTAGCTGTTGGAAAAAACAAATAGATAAATTTTCAGACAGTAAACTGAAAACCTACCTTTCATATAAAACAAATTTTGGTTTTGAAAAATATCTAACATTGATCAAGAATTTTGAACTTAGAAGAAGTTTTACTAAATTACGTGTATCTTCTCATAGATTACAAATAGAATAGGTAGATATCAGGGTATTCCCCGAATCAACAGAATATGTAATAAATGTTCTTCCAATACTGTCGAAGATGAGGCTCATTTTCTATTTGATTGTAACAAATTTGAGGATGATAGAAATTGTATGTTAGCTAGTATTGCAAAATATAATTCTTATTTTAATCATATGAGCAGGCAAAGCAAAATTATCTGGTTATTTAGTGTAGAAAATGTTGAGTTACTTAAAATAATATGTAATTTTATATACAAACATCTTCCTTATTGAAGATTAGTTAAAGGAAATCTATGTGTGTATATACATTCGATTGGACATAGAAAATTATATTCATCTGAATATCACAAACATACTAGCCTATTAAAAAAAAAAAAATTAATTGTTAAGATATATTATTTATTCAAATGTTCTCTTATATCCTTGAGGCATCGTCCCCTGGTATCAACTGCATTCAAGTTACCTATGATGCTTCCTTGTTTGCTTTTGATACAGGTAGGAAAGAGACATTTACACACATTTTACATGCCTATGGCCCATAAGGTATCGCCCCCTGGTGTCAGCTGCCTTTAGGAAACCATAATACTTTCCTATTTGCTGCTGACACAGGATGAGTCATGGACATGCTTAATTTCTACTTTCTTTTTGACTGATTATTATATGTTTAATTGATCCAACTTTTTGTGTACTATACATATATGGATATCTATTTTTCTTTTTTCTTTTTGGGCTGCTTGTTTGTTATCTATATCAACCACACTTGCAATAAAATGCATTAGTATTAAAAAAAAACATACTATAGATTCTTTATCTACGTATTCTTCAAGAACTTTAATAGTTCTCATTCTATAAGAACTTAAATAGTTCTCGTTAAACTTTTTTTTTTTTTTTTCATTGTTTGTATTGTATTATGAAAAATTATTGATGTTGTAATGTTTATGCCCTTTGGGGCCCATAATTGGAAATAAAAATATCTCTTATACCCAGAAGCCTTTGTGTTTCAACAGATGTTATTGGGCCATCTTCTGTTGATATATTTAGTTTATAGGACAGAGGTCAAATCAGAAGGGACAACACAGAACTCAAAACAAGTCCAACAGAACTGATTGAATTTTCTGTCAATCACTTAGGCGTTGGTAAAAGGCAATCGGACATAATAACACATCCAGTGATCAGAGAGAGACCATGCAGTGTTTCGTTGCATACCACATGAATTCAACATTAAACATGACGTAATCAAATCAACTTTCGAACTGCAAACCTTTTTAGTCAATGGAGTTATGAATGAAATTTATGTTTATACATGTATTGTACAAGAACTGCATATGAATGAGAATTAAATAGAATAATCAAGTGAGTTTTTTACATGCAATTTTAATTTTAACCTGTTTTTAATTTTTGCAAAAAAAAAGCCACATTCAATTTGCCTTTCATCTGCATATAAACATGAACACCACCTTAAAAATGTTTATGATATATCTCAATATAGGAATCTGTATATATTTAGTTTCATAGAGGACCGTAGAGAATTTTCATAATCGATCAATACGTTACTTGTGTTTTGTCCTACATCTTGACATTTATGGGGATATTATAAGAATTCCATATCACTGAGTGCACATTGGGCAATATAGTGTACGCGACTGGAATAGACTCATTTAATTCGATGATGACACTCACATTGCTGAGCATTCTTTTTTTATCTTTACTATGAGGAATATGACAATAACTGATGTTCTTATGTCAAAGACCTACTTACAGAATTTGATATCCTGGAACATTTTGGACACAAAGCGTTATTATTATGACTAATTTCGAATCCATTTTGCTCGAAAAATATGACTCTATAGACAAATGGCATTTTGACAACTACACAATAAAGAAACTTATGTGATACTGAAGGCGAATTTCGCAATAAAACATGATTTGAACAAAACTGAAGGACTTTCCTAGCGCAACTATGATGTTGAAGTATTTCTTTGAGGCTCAAGACGGGGATACAAAACGGTGAACAGGAGTTCCACTGAGGATTAGTGTCACTGTATACTCATCTGCTCTTTATACAATGAGAAAGTACTGTTGGTCATATTTACTAACAATGAATTACGTTACGTGACATATGATGAAAAAAGTAAAATAACAAAAACGAAAAGTCCTTTATAAAATCAAAATCTCAAACACATCAAACGAATGGAAAACAACTGTCATATTCCTGACTTGGTACAGGCATTTCCTTATGTAGAAAATGGTGGATTAAACCGGGTTTTATAGCTAGCTAAACCTCCCACTTGTATGACGGTCGCATAGAATTTCATTATACTGACAACTATGTGTGAGCATAACAAACAGACATGATAGGTAAAAATGTCAAAAATCGGGGTACAGCAGTCAACATTGCAATATAATCTTAATCACTAAAAAAAAAACTATTTCAACAAAGAAAAACAAACTGGCATATAGAAACTCTATAGACAAAGTACATAAGCAAAAATGAAAGACAAGAATACAAAATTGACCATAGCACAATAACACAATGGCGGGATCTATAATTACCGAGCCACGTCAAAAGTTTATTACCAAAAATGGTAACAGTTAAAATATACAAGGACAAATAACACTATAACACGTAATTAATCATAGATTTAAATACTGTGTGGAATAAAATCGGCCGCTTACGGTATGGGTTTTGCTCATTGTTGAAGGTTGTACGGTAACCTATCGTTGCTTACACTCACGTTGTTTGTACAGTTGTCTCATAGGCAATCATTCCACATCTCCTTATTTTTAATTAAAGATTTATATAAAATTTATAAAAATCCCAACTTCGCAGTGGTACCACAGGAAAATATTGTAGCATATGGTCTAAAATAAAGGCAACGTAGAATTAACATTAATTAATTAATTAGAAGAAACAAAGCATCCGGGAAATCATGTAATCGCAATAACAGTTAAACTTATAAACTGGACACAACCACATACTGCAATACTGATATAATTTTTGACAAGTCGAAAGTTCATTCTCTACAATAATGATACTTTTTAAAAAAATTTAGTCTAAAATGACAAAATCGCAATAATAAATGCACGCAATAATTTCTGAATTTACAGTACTCCATTTTTTCAAACAAATCATTTTCTCTTGCTGAATCTGTTTTCCACGTTTTTTGGATCACCACTTATCATATACCTTAAAGACATTAAAAAACAACAGCAGGAAAATAATCCAAAAAGGCGAATGAAGGAATAGGTGGGTGGGGTTGAGGAAGCTTCCCGATCGAACGTTAGAAAATTCTAAAAGTGACGTATGCTAGTGACGTCACAAAGTGAAAACATCACAGACACGGTCAAGGTTCAGAATACGAAGAGAAAAGGGGGGACTCGAGAATAAATACGGAATTTAAACTTTTATTAAACCTTTATTATCAGTAAACCGATAAACATTATTAAAATGATAACCAACGTCAGTACCTAGAATCTATACCTCAAGACCATCATGTATTATTTGTGAAGTTGATACGGAATATTTATCAACAAGGTCTTGGTATCTTCCAATAATTTTTTTTTAGAAAAAAGGACGATACGTTCTTTGGCATAACCTAGGTTCATCAACTTTCTGCTCAGACACTGCTGACGTTTTATAAAGTCTGAGTAGCAGCTGCAAGCTCTTGAATACCGAATGAGTTGGGAAATGTATATCCCCATATGCAGGTGAAGTTGATATATTGCTGCAAAGGTTGGGGAAATTTATAACTTCAAAATTAAAATCGTCTCGTTTGTCATAGATTCTGGTACTGAGATGACCTCTTATGTCAAATTCGAGGTATAAGTCTAAAAGGAGGCAGAGGAAACCATGTCTGTTGTTTCTTTAATTTCTAGTTATGGAGGATATATTAATGGAACCCAATCAGAAAAGTTTGGATTGTTAATGGAAAGAACATCATCAATATATCTGAATGTGAAATTAAATGATCTGGCTTCTTTGATCTTCTTGTTTTTGACAAGCGTCTGCAGGAACTCCGACTCATATGAAATAAAAAGAGGTCGGCAAGGAGAGGCGCACAGTTCGTTCCCATAGGAATGCCGACAATTTGTTAAAAAAAAGTATACCTCCAAATTCAACAAATATGTTGTCAATAGAAACTCCAACATACTGATCACTTCTTCCTCTTTGTAGCAAATT